CGACCGGAACGGTTCCGGCTCGAGGAGGGCCCCCCGGTTGGACCGGGGACCAACACTGGTCCGCAGTCGATTCAAAAAAGTCGTCCCAGTGTGAGTAGACCCTTTGAGGAGGGAGGGGGGAGGGGTCACACACAGAAACAGGAAAAATAAATGTGTACACATGCGGAACCTGAACAAAACAGAACAAGCAGCCCGATGCATCAACATGCATTTGCAGCCTCGTCTTTGTTTGCACGAGTGTGTGTGTCCAAAAATGCGAAGAGGCCATTCCTGACTTGGGGTTTGAACTCTTGACTTGTTGATCGACAGGGAGAGGCGCGTACCATTGAGCCAGCTGGCAAGGTACCCCTTATCTGAGGAGGGAATCAATCCATGAACAGAGAGAGAGAGAGAGCCTGGGGGTCAGGCGCAATCGGTTTGTTGGACCTGGTTTTGTTTTGAAACCTGGGTTCAATCCCCACACTTGTTTTTTTGGGTTACTATAACACCCCTGTCATTTTATTGACAAGGCCGGGGTCCTCTCAATCTACTCCTCCCCGCTACCCACCCACACCATCCCCACTCCTACCCCCACCCGCGCCCCCACCCCCATAGCATATTGGAATTTAGAATCTGTTAGAAACTGGGCCCTCCGCAACAGCCCCCTAGCCACCTATCCCCCTGCTCCCCTCACGTCCTCCAGACCCAGCTTCACACCTCCCCTAGAACCCAAGAGTCTCCCCACAGATTACCATCCTACGAAGTCGACCTTCCCTTAATACATTCTAAGTCCCCTAACTGTTCAACGTGTTTCGTCCAGGCTCAACATCCTGATTCAGTCTTTTTTTAATTAACTAATTAATCCATCAATCCATTAATCCATTAATCAATCAATCAATCAATCAATCAATCAATCAATCAATTAATTAATTAATTCATTAGTCGATTAATTGGCCGGTAAGTTGAGGGCATTGGATTTAACTCTGCAAGAATACAGAGCTAACCGTGCAGATCAGGCTCAACTTGAAGCTGGGACCACTTAAGGCGAAGTGAGTCGAACGCGGATATCTAAATAGTAAATTCTCATCTAATCCTTGAAAGGGGAAAATAAATAACTTTGAGAAAGCATGTCCTTTGGGATGTCTGTTAAAACTGGAGCAATACAGAGAAGATTAGCATGGCACCTACAGAAACGGACGGCGGGTGGCTTAGGTCGGCGAGGAACCAAAAAAACAATAAAAACAGCCACCTGACCTGTTGTTGCAATCCCTGCATACAATGTGGTCCGGCTATATCTGTCGCAGACCAAGCTGGACGGGCAAAGCCTGCAGGCCATTGCTGAGAATAGTAAAAGGGTATTTGGTCGATCAAAAACTTGACTAAACCTTGATGTATTGAAATGCGAATCTCACATTGCGATTTGTTCTACTGCATTTGACCGTACGAGGTGGCCAGATACGTCGTGGAAAGTCCTCCTGGTAAGTTTGGTCAGGTACATGCAAGATTGTCCTGATCCGAGTATGCCCTATAAGCGATCCGTCCCTCTCTTTCAATGACTAACCTCTCCCTCAGCCCAGCTATCTAGAAAGTATCTTCCTGTCTACGGTGTCTTTTCCGTCTCTCCCTTCAAGAAATGGTCATCTGTCACAAAAAAGGGGAAAAAACAGAATGACAAACACTAGGGATGTTCTTTCATAGCACCTGGCCTTTAGTCTCGTCATTGTGGCGCTAGAACTTAAGTTTGTGAAGACTAGGACGGCCTCCACTGGCATGAGCAATGGGGGCCGATTCGGGGCTCCTAAAATGGGAACGATTCGGAGCCTTAGAAATGGGGGGCGATTGGTGTCCCCGAAGATGGGGGGCTATTAGGGGCCCGTGTGATAGGGGCAATTTGGGGCTCCGGAAATTGGGGATCGATTTAAGGCCCTTAATGAGGTGCGATTCAGGGGGGCCCTAAAATGGTGGCTGGTTCGTGGTCGCTCAGAGGGTGCAATTTGGGGCTGCTCCTAATGTGGGGGGGCGGTGGGCTGCAACAGCCCTCCAGGTTGTTGAACAGGATGGGGCTCACTTCGTGCAACCTTTCTGGATAAAGCAGGTATAGTTGCCAACTTGCCACTTTGCCCTTTTCTTCTCCATGCAATTCTGATGCTCAACTCCCCGCCCCTGACGGCATCCTCCCTTGATACAAGTTCCCGGCCATGGTGCCACTCTGCCCTCTCTTCGAGCTACAGTGATGTCCCGCCTTGGACACATCATTTCAAGCGAAGAAGCGGCGGCAAATTTCTGAAGTCTAAGGTGAGATAAGGTGTTTCCGAAGAAGAACCCATGCTTAAACCGCCCCTACGTTTCACAGTGTTGGGAAAAGTGGGAATATTTGTCGGGGACTGGCTTGCTGTTGGGCTGCCGTGGCGGCCTATTTTTTTTTTTCCCGCCTCCGAAACTCGCGGATGCTGGCCTGTGGCTGATGTAGGGGAAACGTAGCGCTGGCTTAAGGCAAGCTACCACCAAAGCATGGGTTGTGGGTTCTCCGAGTTCTCAAGTGAAGTGGGAAATAAAGATGGGTGCTATGGGGGCTATGAGTCAGAACATGGGTGGTATATGTATGTGATTGTTTCTCTTGTACAGCGAAGTTGTACAGCTAGGAGATTAAAGTTTAGGGAAGCCCGCGTGCGAAGGGAGAGGGGAGTGATCCAGCAGCTACACGATCAAAGTTTGGGGAAGTTGGTGTGACAATGAAGTGTTACGCAGCTGCTTCAGTACTTTCCCTAGACTCGAAGTCATGATCTGTTCAGATGCTGTGGGAAGATGGTGTGGCACGGGAGTTAAATTGTTGATTGGAAACAAGTGTGAGCCTGGGCCAGTTCTGGCGCATGGGAAATAAAACTGTCGCTGCTGTATTGGTCACATCCCATGGGGCCAAGTCAAGAATTGGGCCCGGGAAACGGGGTGGTGGTAACCATATTGCCTCGAAAATGGCGCGGTGTTAATCACATCGGCGGCTCTGCTGGTGGCTGTAAACCACCAGTACTTCCGAGCCTCTTTTTCGTGATACCAATGTCGGCAAAGCCCTGAGTTTCGTCAAACCAGCACGGGTGCGAAATCGATTCATTTTCCTGGCGCGGCCCAGGGTCCCGAGTCCTGAAAGTTGCGGCACATGTGCGGCCGCGTCGGTTTTCTTTTTTTTCTTAGCCTCGACTCCGGTAGTGTTGACTTAAGTCTTGGTTCATCACAGGTTCAATCTCTCTTGGTTCGCATTGCACAGAGGTTCAGACTCTTGACTTGAAGCTAAATTGCCAAAACCTAAATTGCCCAAACCTAAATTCTATTTCGCCCGACCGAATCGAACTGGTCCATGATAGACAGGTTTGTTGAGAAGCGCAGGCCTGTTGTGTTCGACCACAAGTTTTGGAGGAGGGGTCTCGTAACGGTGGTTCAAGCGGATGAAATTCCGAGTCCCTGTCAACAGGAGGTTTGTTCCCAAAGACGGTAGGCATATGGCCCCAAGTGGACGGCTGGGGAGGGGAGGGCAGTGTGGTAAGGAAAGAGGGGGAAGAGATTGAAAGCGTGGATAATTTGTACTGTTTGTTTGTTGTTGATGACCTATTTTTGTTTTTGCGTCCTCCAGCAACAACCTCGGCCTTTTCTGGTAATTCCGCTCGTCACAGTAACTGAACAATGGTAAGGGCCTCGCCACACCACTCTCGAAATGTGAAAAAGACAAAAATGTGGCGGAGGCATCTGGCCATGTTCTAGCGGGAAGTTCCTTCCCATTTTGCAAATTTCGAGAGTGGTGTGGCGATGCCCTAAGTCATGGCTACTTAGGCGCTCGTCACAGTAATTGAACGATGGTAAGTAGTGGCTACGTAGGTAATTGATCGTAAGTCGTCACACTCCTCGTGGTGGCTCACGGGAATTCATGGTAATTCGACTCATCACGGTAAGTCACGAAGTGACTCTCAGCTTTCAAGCCCAGCAACGATGGTTGGCGTTTGTGGTAATGCCGCTCATCGCACAGTAATTGAACCAGGGTAAGCTCATGGCCAGTTAGGTAATTGATGGTAATTCATCAGACTCCGCATGGTGGTTCACGGCAGTTCACGGTAATTCAACTCGTTACGGTGATTCACCAAGTGATTCTCAGCTCTGAAGCCCAAGTGACTCGCTAGTTCTCTTGATCGGTAGCTGTAGGTGTGTTTCTGCCAACCTAAACTATTAAGTTTTATTGCAACGTACTGTCGGCAATTTTTTTATTTTATTTTATTGAACACCGTGTACGAGAATTGCCAAGTGATTCTCAGCTCATCAGCTACAGAGCGAAGTGTACGAGAATTGCCGTGTCCGGCAATTTTTTTATTTTATTTTATTGAACACTGTAGGTAATTCAACTCGTCACGGTGATTCACCAAGTGATTCTCAGCTCATCAGCTACAGAGCGAAGTGTACGAGAATTGCTGTGTCCGTGGGTGTTGTGTGGTGTGTGTGCTGAGTTGGACACTACACCCTTGCAGGGGTGGGGTGGATATCACGACCGGTACGATTCCACTTTTGAACACCGTGTCCTGGCTGTAGTGGTTAAGAGACTTGGCTCTTGAGGCCGAGGTCGCCGGTTCGAATCTGTGCTTGCACGGAGGAGGACTTAGGCCCAGATGTTGCACGGCCGGGCTGCCCAGGCAAACAAGGTGACCCGGGCGGCCTGGCTGGTTGCCTATAATTTTTTATTATTATTATTTTTTTTAAGGGCGAAGGCCTCGCGATCTGCCTTTTTTTTCCCATTTCTATTTCATTTTTATGTTTTTTTTTAAGAGCGAAGGCCTTGAGATATATCATCATCGAATTTACCAGCCCAAGGTACTTCGGAATGGTTGTAAAATTACTCATCTGCGTCTATTGGAGGTTTTGAACTCAGGCCTGCACTTCAACAGTTCATGGGTGTGTCAACTGGGGTAGGGCAGTTGGTTACTACCGGCAATTTCTAAATGAGCTGCGCTTTTGTTATTCGCATCGGTGCTCTTTTTTTTCAGAACACGAAGGATAATCCTCCTTGCAACACCCTTTTTATTGGAAACCTGGGAGAAATGACGAGTGAAAGCGAACTTCGGAGTTTGTTCAGCAGGTAAGGCATCTTCGCTTCGACTGTTTTGAGTTTGTGTTTTTCTTTCTTTCCCTGTGCGCTTTCTTTTGTATACACGATCCTCATCGCATCTATGTACATCATTTCTCCTCTTTACTCAATTCTTCATCTCTTCATGACACCACCTGGGAGCACCCAGCGGTCCCTACCTCTCTCCCTAACCCATGGTTGACAGCGTCTATTGTTGGTGGTATAGCAAATGTGTTCCAACCCCCCTGGCCTGGGACCCAGTGTGCTATGCCTGGATGGTAGGTGATGAAGCATGCCGAGGCATGCATATGAGATCGATAGGAATTGAACACATGACCTCCTGGATGCGACTTGTGTGCCTTACCAACTGACCTGGGCAGTTTCTTGCTTTTATTGTTTCCTTGTGGGGCTGGAATTTTGTGTGCTTTATTTTTCTTTGCATCACAAGGAGTGTTCTCTGGTGCCTATGGTGGAGCTCTCTACCTGCTGTCTTCACCCGAATAGAGCGCCCGGTCATTATCGCTGTATGTATACTGAAAGTTGCACCAAATACGGCTATAATGGCTTGGCCTTCTATTCAGGTGAGGACGGTAGCCTCATCATGGTGGAATAGTATATGGTCGGCAGTCGTTGATGCTTTAACAGCAACCTGGTTGTAGGTGGATTATCACTTTCAGTATCATTCTTCAGTTAGGGGACTCTGCAGACCGAAGAGGGTTGAGTTGGTGAAACTTGGATGAAACAGTCTGTCACAGCCCCTCGTTTGTTGTCCTCTTCTCCCTTTTCTGGCTGCAGTTTAGCGGTCAGTTCTGTGTGAGGATATATAATGATTTACATTGTTGTATAGAAATATCGATAAACGTTATTATGTTAATATAATGGACAATAATGTGAAAGAGTTTTCACCGTTGCAGTAGCAGATGCAGATCCCAGGGTTCGATCCCTAGACTTCACCTCACCCGTGTACAGTACCCCTGTGTGTTTGAACCCGGACCTGCGTTTTAGGAGTCAGTTGTTGTCTGGCGTAAGGTCGATGTAGCTGTCGGGTTTCGACCTGTAAGTCTGTCGAGTAGGGGTCACAGTTGTGTAGAGGCCGTAGCTGTAGCCATTTTGAAAGGTCAAGGTCGTAGCTGCTACAGTCCTGAAAGGTCAAGGTCGTAGCTGCTACAGTTTCGAAAGGCCAAGTCCAGCAACGGAAGTGGCCTTTCAAACGTCGCTCACAGCAGACCAGAGGCAAGTGGGCAAGTGGTGAGTCCAACCCTGCTTAGTCAGCGGTACCCAGTCCCGGTCTCACTTAGTCCAGTCAGCAAGTACCATGTGGGACGGTGTGCACCAAGGGCCTGGGGGAAAAGGGGGCAGACCCGCAACCAACAGAAGTATAAATCAAGAGGCGACGTCCAGTCATTCATTCATTCCTGCGTGAGCCGTGCGGAAGCTCTGCCCAGGCGACTTGTGCGAGGTGGTCTGCAGATGCCCGAAGTTGAAGTGGGCTGAAGGAAGGAGATAGCGTCCATTGTTAGTGGTAGCGAGCGGCCATAGTCGCCATAGGTTAGAGATAGGGTTTCAGTGTGTAAGTGAGTGTGAGCGGAGTACAGTGTGAGTGCGTGTGCGATATCCAGGGAGATCCAGAGTTGAGTGTGTGTGAACAGTGGATGTAAACTCTAAGTGGATAAGCCGAAGTGGGCTGAAGGAAGGGGATAGCGTCCAGTGTTAGTGGTAGCGAGGGGCCATAGCCGCCATAGGTTAGAGATAGGGTTTCAGTGTGTGAGTGAGTGTGAGTGGAGTACAGTGTGAGTGCGTGTGTGATATCCAGGGAGATCCAGAGTTGAGTGTGTGTAAACAGTGGATGTAAACTCTAAGTGGATAAGTGAGGAGAAGGCGTGCAATCGCCATAGCCATTCTGAAGCGAGTTTGTATCTGAGTTGTGTGGGCGCCCAGCACCAGTGTGCTTTGCCATCTGTTGTATGAGGAAGAAAGCAAGTCTGATTCCAAATGTATACTGTATTGCATATATTGAATATGCCGCAGCTTGGTGCAATTGTGTGGAAAACTGAAATAATTACGAACACCTGCTAGAATCTGATTGGCGGAGGCGGGGCCCGGAGGATGATGATTGGATTTGTGCAAGGGCGCACCTCTTTTGTATGAATGAATGGCTGGTTGTCCCATACACCCTGCTTAGATTTGATTAAAGGTTGCAACCCATGGTTGGGGACATAAAGGCTGCACCATTGCACCATTCCTGAAGTGCTCTAGTGGCACGTGTATCTAGCCACGGTGCATGTGAAGATGCACTCGCCCTTTTTCACATTTTGCGAGTAGTGTGGATATACCTTCGTAGCGGCAGATGCGTATTTCCACCTTCCATCTGGAGATGCACTTGGCCTTTTTTGCAGTTTGAGTGGTGACTACTAGTGAGGCAAGGCTGAATTGCACAGCCGTCTTTCTCTCTCCCCTTCTCTCTCTCTCTTTCTCTTTCACTCTCTTTCCCGTCTTGAAACACAAACTTGCACACACATTCATGATTCTTTCCCGGGGGGAGGAGCAGGGGCGTGCAGCTGCACCCCCTGCCCATCCCCCTCGTTTTGATTTCGAACCCCTATTGCGTGCACATGAGCGGTGCACCATTGTGCGCTGTGTACATGTGTTTCGTGCGCATGCTGCACGCCTCAATGATGGTTCTCCTAAGACTAGCTCGGACTGACCAGCTTGTAATTGCTGACTCAGTTCTGACCACCAGTTCATCATGAACCCATCCAGTGGCACTTAGTCTAAGCCTAGAGTCATATTACCTCGTCCTCTTATAGGTCTGCCTGTTTTCTTTACTCGGTGAACTTTCCTGGTATGGTAAATCGGAGCGTCTTTCGGAATCGCTTCAAGTTCATTGGCTTAGGCTCCTTCCCATCTAGTAGGCTCGGGTTGTCTTCCCCCTTCCCTCCCCTCCCCCTCCCCTCGGAGGGTGGCCCCTTAAATCACTGTATCTCTTTGATTACGTCAGGATTCGAACTCCTGATCTTTTCAAAAACATATGCATGTCTATGCCATCAGCTACATGGGCTGGGTCATTCCTCAGACCACCAGGCCCACCCGCCTACCGTTCATTTGAAACTCTTCAACAAGTGCCGGGGCTGGCCCATTTGGGGGAGAGGGTTGGTAGTGCAACGGTGGGGGAGGGTGCGCTGAATTCCGACTACTCGACTTTGGTAACTTTTAATTCTGATTTCTAGTGACGAGGAAATCTGAAAAAAATCACGAATGTTGGTCAGGTCATGCTGCGTCAGGTGAAAATAAATCAGGGTTTGAGCTTATGATCTCTCTACTAAATAGTTTAACCTGTCTTGTACTGTGTAGCGTTCAGCCTCATGGGCCAGGCACAAGTTTCAGCCTTGTGGTAGTCTCTGGTCGTTGTGTGACTCTTACCACGGCTGCAACGGCTGGTTATGTATGGAGGAGAGGAGGTAGGAGGAGGGGGGGAGAAGGAGGAGGTCATCTATGGAGGAAGAGGAGGAGAAGGAGAAAAGCGGGAAAGAGAAAGGGGAAAGAAATTGGGAAAAAAATGGCACGTGTCACGTGGCACGCGCATCCAAGTAGTAGGAGGAGGTGGAGGAGGAGCAGGAGGAGGAGAGGAAGAGGAGGTCGAAGGAGGAGGGGAGGAGGAGAAGGATATGTGGTCGAAAGAGGAGGTGAGGAGGAGAAGGATGGAGATGGATGGAGGAGGACGACGAGGCGAACAACGATGTCGGAGGAGGAGGAGGAGGAGGAGGAGGAGGAGGAGGAGGAGGAGGAGGAGATGTTAAAAAAAAGATCGGGAAAAAAATGGTGCGTGCGACATGGCATGCGTGTCCAAGTAGGAGAGGTGGAGGAGGAGGAGGTTGATGGACGTCGATGGAGGAGGAGGGGGTGGAGGTTGAGGAGGAGGAGGAGAAGAAAAAAGGAATGGAAAAATGGGAAAAAAAAGTGTGTGCCACGTGGTGCCCGCAAGTCTCTCTCTCTCTCTGTCTCCCCCCCCACTGAGCCAAAATGGGACAAAAACTGGCCCGTGGAAAACATGTTCTCGGGCCAGTTTTTTGTGCTCTCGCAAACACATTCACGAGCCATTTGCGTGAACGTGCGAACATGTTCACGAGGCCCGCACACATGTCCGCTGTGCTACGCAGTTCTTTCATATTGATCTCTAAATGGCCATCAGCTTTTGAGTTCCTACCGTCTTCCCCCGAATAGAACTTATGGTCGTTGTAGCTGTATTGGGGCAACGTTCAGTCTAGATACAGTGATAATGACCGTATGTTCTAATTCCGGGGAAGACTCTTGCTTCTCAGTTTGAGTTGTTCTGGGATCAGATTTTTAAAATTGTTTTTGTATTTTCACTCGTTTGCGCTTTTGGTGGTGGCAGTTTGTGTGTTGATGTGTTTGTGACTTCTGCGTTTTCGTTTTAAGTTTTTTTTTTTTTTTTTTTTTTTTTTAAGTGTGTTAGAACAATGACTGGGGAATAGATATTCAGTTAGAATTTGGACATTGACCGCCGGTGAGGCTGCCAGGCGGCTGTCCCCTGCACCCCGCCATTTACAGGATCCACATACTGTGTGTCTGGGTGCTGTGCAGTAACCCTGTTCAACAGCAGACCGGGGCTCAGAACTTTGCCCCCGGTAAGACCCAGACTCAGTTGTCTGTGCTGGGCTATGTGACCGAGACATGCCCAGCCTGAGTCTGTCGAGGAGGCTGTGTGACCAAACGCAGCACAAGGAAATTCAACAGTCAAAGA